AAATAAGGGCCACTGTATGAAAATTTGAGCAATCTTTAGCATTTCCCTTTTTTGGGATGGGGATATAAGTTGATTTTTTCCAGTCTGATGGCCATTCTTGTGTTTTCCATATTTGCTGGCATATGGCATGCATCACCTTGACAGCATCATCTTTCAAGATTTTAAACAGTTCAGCTGGGATCCCATCGTCTCTTGCTGCCTTGTTGTTAGCAATGCTTCTTAATATTAATGGAAAAAATAAGGTAGAAAGCATTAAAAGGTAAATTATCTTTCCACTTTTTGGCAAACAAAAAGGAAATCAATTGGTTTTAGCATATTTAATGCATGCCTGCTTTGAAGGATTTAGATGAGCCGTAAAGGACCACAACTACTGCTGTGGTGAAAAAATTAGATAAATGACAATTTAAGCATGGATTAGGTTTGTTAAATTAATCCTTTTTTTTAAAGTTGGCCACTTTTACCTCTCCTTTCTATAGTTAAAAGTAGAACATGCATAGCAAAACAAAGAACTTACTAAATCCATGCAATTAGTACTACATTAGGGGGAAACAGCAAAAAAAATGCAAAACATTTAAAGCATCCATGTTAACCATTTGCAGCACCTATGTTCAACTAATGAAAAGATTATATGAAATAGCTATTAAGAACTTTATTCATGCTATTGTGGCAATACAAACAGAAAGGTCCCATGCTAGGCTTTCAGGTCAGAATTAACTCAATTTTACATGCCTATGTGTTCAGGTTCTAATTTTAAATATCCACAATGGTGTTGCTCCAGCCTATACAGGTTTTTGCCTTTGGATCGAAGTGTAATGGAGTCTTATACAACAACAGCTGTAAAATGTGCGAGGCCGTGACTCCCACCGCTTGTTACTAAAAATTTAAAACCGTTCACTTGCTGCCACCAAAATATGTGAGGAAGTCTCCAAAATGAAATAATGGTGTAAAATCCCAAATAAATAGGATCACCACACAGATGTAATAAAGATTTGAGACTTCTAGCTTAAATTGCCACCATAATATAAGAGATATTGGTAAAATGATCTCTGGTTATCCCTATCTGTGTTGTGAGGCACCTTTGGTAGTGTGGAATGCTCCAAACGTGGAAATCAGTGAAGGAGGCAAGTTTAAAACACAAAAAGAACAGGTTTATTGTTATCAGAGCGTAAATTGTTGCAAAATTAAACTGTTGAACTTGGCACAAGCTTGATGGATACAAAATGGCTTGGTTGAGTTACATTAAGTCTTCCGATGTTACAATCCTTTAACTCCTCCTACAGTGAGGTACTTTATTATTTCAGTGTTCCCTAATGTGAATATTTACAACTGTTTGTCCTTCACCGGATCAAACCAACGATCTCCAGACTTTCACCACTGGGATCCCTGAAACCCTTTCTTGTTAGATTCTTTTCTACTCAAGCAATCTAACGAGTTTCCACCTTCAGCTTCCTAGCTGAAGTAATATTCACAAAACCTAAGAACTAACTGAATTTACACTACTCCACAGAGCCCCCTTGACTCTGCTACTCTCCTCAGGGTCTCATCCGCCTGACTGACTATAAACTGTCGCTTTCAAACCTTTTCTACTTAAGCTCCGCCCACCTCCTCTGGCTTGTCACCATGGCAACCT